AATCCTCATTAAGTATTAAATATATAGAATTTAATTTAATTTTTTTATAAATAAAAAAGCAAAAATTTAAAATAATTTAAACAAATATATACATTAACATACAGTGCAACAAATCAATCTTCAATAACTTATTACAGTAAATACACATTAGTATACGTGTCCGGCAACAAGTTTATAAAAAAAAAAAAAACCATAAACTGCCTCAAATTGAATTGGGTTATAAAATTGGACCAGGGAGACTAAAACTAGAAAAGAAATTAAACTAAATAATTTAAGTTGGATTGAGTTAGCTAATTAAGTTGAGTAAGTAAAATTAATTAGTAATATATTTGTTTCCTCAAAAATTCTCTAGTGACCTCACACGTGTGAAATTTGGTTGCGGGCGTGCCACTTACTTTGCTGAAAGTAAAAAATGAGGACTTTCCCAACGACCCTCTCCTTTCTCACGATCGACTTCTTCGCAGATGGCGGGAAAAACGTTGGATTAAAATTGAAATTGCGCCTTCAGACGATTTGCAAGAGGGAGGGATGCCTTCCTGCAGATTGGGTTACGAAATCTGTCTTGGACAACTCCAAAAACTTAAACACTACCGTAACTTAAAATTATCAAATCCTAATTATTTTAAATTACCTGTAATTTAAAATAAACTTGCGAGAAAGAAATGTACTTAAACTAAATTAAACATGCTTATGATAAAATTAAAATGCTATCTATTGATAAATTCGGAAATTAAATTGCTGCAGAACTGGAAATTTACTCCTAAATTAGCACTAAAATTAAACGTGAACAGTGAAGAAATCGAAGAACTTGAATTTGGAAAGAAGCATGAAAGCCACATAAGTAATCATTGAAGCAATGCTACTTAACATAAACATTAAATTAATTACAAATGAAAAGAAAACAATATCTTGCATAAACTTGAAGGATTGAAGTTCATTGCATGAAAATTGTTTAACTGAATATAGGAATTAATTTGTCTACTAGAATGATGAAAAACAACCTAATTCTAATGGAATTTGTGCTGAAATATGAAATCTGTGCTGAAATCCGAAATCTAAAAATGTGCAGAGAAAATCAAAGTATGAAAATTTGCAGTTGTTTGAGTAGGGCTGACCGTTTGTTCCTCTTGCCAAAGTTTCCTTTTTGTTCTTCTTGTGCCAGCAGTTACTCAATCATGAGTAGTTTGTTGGAGTAGTGGGACACCTCACCTTTTGACCTAGTCTAATCCTCTTTCAGATTTCGTCACCTATGCTTTATCAAATAAAATCTCTTTTTTAATTGTGATCTTCCCCTATTTTCCAACTGTCATTATCTCTTTCTGTTTCAAGAAGATAATTACTCCATAAAACATTATCTTTATCTCTCCTATCTTGCCAACACATGTGTTGATCTGTCATGGGGCTCAAAATCCGAATCTGACATGGCTCAAACTCCTCCAGCCAATAAAAATTTTACATGTGGCATTAATTTAAAATTTTGCGATTTATGGTGTAAACAATATTTACAAATAAATTTATTTTTTTATTATATATAAATCCTCACAAAACAAAGAAAATTTCATTAAACCCCCCTCCAGTAAAGAGAAATATTCTTTCAATCTTCATTCGTGTGACAAAAATTTCTGTAGCGCTCCGCGAAGCCCGGAACAAATTGCCGTCCATAGGTCTAGCACGATTGGTTCGTGTAAATTCATAAACCATAATAAAATGGAAAATATCAATCGCGCCAGGTAGGGGTCGAACCTACGACTTTCTGCTTAGGAAACAGACGCTCTATCCACTGAGCTACAGGCGCCTCTTGACACGATGTTTCCTTGTTTAATTTACTCTTATGTAGTTGTTCTCCAAAGCTCGCCGACCTGTAGCAATAAAGGATTCAATTGCAAGCTTCCGCAAAACCCCTACGGTG